TGGCAGCCATGAAGTAGCGCTCCCTGCAACGGAGGATCGGGTTCCAACGCTCACTGTTCCGCTTATCATTTTTAGCCTTGTGACTACACAGGCAAGACTTTACACCTGTGCTGGGCAGGATAAAAACTTCAGAGATCGGCTTTCGGTCAAAGAGATCAGCGCTTTCTAGAAGGGCTGCACAGAGTTTGGTGACATAAGCCTAAGAGACTGTGATGGCATCAGTCAGGAAAGAAAAAACAGACTAAGAATGACAGGGTGTGACGATCATGAGCTACTCAAGCCAGTAGAGAAACCTGAGTGACTGCTTCAGGAGGAAAGACGCAAAGTAAAGTGATGTGTGAATACTTACAGCAGATTATGAATTCCTGTGGACACTATAAAGTTATGAAGTAACTGGCACTGACCTGTATGTAGCTGATATGAAGCTGATACAGGTCTGGAACAGGTCGTTTGCTTGTCTTGGCAAAGGATAGTTCACCTCATTCTACAAAGACTCTTCTGCCAATTGGAAAGCAATCTGTAGGGAATCATATACATGTTACTTCTTATTTGCAAGTCAGAGAAGACATTTTAGAATACCGCTAATAGGACCGTCTCACTTAGAGAACAGAAGAAAGACTAAAAACCCCAACGCTCTGAAATCCTCAGTTTTAAAACTCCCCCTGAAATAATGACCACGCCAACACTTAATACATATCATTAACACCCTTAATTGTTTCAGTGATTCTAAACTGCTCTGGCAGTTTAGATTGAATCTATGTCTATAAGGTGTTACGTAATCATTGAGGGGACACTCTGAGAGCTGAATTTGTTTTCATGACAAAGAGGGACCAAAGACATTTTGTCATTGCTCTGATCTCTAGCTCTTCTGGTGGTCTGAGTAGAAAAGAAGCAGCAGACAAAAATCTGTTCTCAAAAAAAAATCAGAAATCAGCATACAGCTATCTTATCTCTGTGTTATTGACTCCAAAAAAAAACCAAAAATAGCATTACAACATATGTATGAAGAAACAAATTAAGTATCCTGGCTATGAGAAGAGTAGCCTCTCAAGAAAGTAGTCTGTCTTCGTCCTTACCATCTGTACCTTAGTGGACGATGGCAGAAACACTGTTTTCTCCCCTGTGCTTTGTTTCTATCCGGACCAATGACCTCATTTCCTGGATAAGAACTTTAGGTTTGACCCATCATCAAATTCCCTCCGTGGAATGTGTTGCTAACTCTTAACTGTGCTCATATTCAAAGTCTACGTTGGTCTGAAAGACACTTTGAATTTCTCAGACATTTATAATGTGGGACTGAAGGGACATTAAGAAGTGTGATGTAACTGCTGTTTTTAAAACAATGGTGTTACAGAAGCAGGCCACTTCCTGGAAATTAATGTCCCACTGAGAAAAAGAGACGAGTACTATCGACCATAATAATAAATAATGTGTGCAGTATGATATGATATAGAGAGAGGATGTAGAATTTTGAAGGGCAAATTATTTCAGCTCAAATTATTTCAACAAAGTCCAACATATTTATTGGAAGAAAACAACTTAAAAAAGATTGCAAGGGGCAAGCAAGGCCGAGAAAGTATACTTGTGAAAATCAATTAATGCCTTTCCAAGTGTAGGAAAAGGACAAATGAACAATTTAGGATGTCTATTCTTTGTTTAGACCAGAAGAAGAGATTACAGTCTGCACAAAAAATATTAAGCTTTTTCCACCTGCTGCTTTGCTTGAAGTGAAAGTGCTGTGAACACACACAAAAGGAAAGACTTCTGCAAGATACTCAGCTTCTTCCTTCAGCTGCTTGGTACTCCTGCAGACCTGCTACGTGAATCTTGCTGTTAAGACAAGTGTATGTTAACCAGTCTGTGGGAATTAAAGAGGATTTCTCCAGCTGGGATTCCTTCTAAGGCAGCTTGTGGGGCTGATCTTCAGTGCAGAACTTCTAAACCTCAGTAACGTTAAATATCCTGAGTATGACAGAGTTTGCTGTCATTAGTGTGCTAACTCAACAAAAACAAGATCTTCCCTGGGATAGGATTTATGTACTGGGACATCTCAAGATGTGCAAACAAATTTAAAATGAAAATAAGTGGAACAACATGTAGGCAAGCTGAGCTACCGTGAACCCCTTCACCTTTTTGACTAGAGTAAAAACGGCCACAATAGGGGTGTGCGGGCTATGGGCAGGATCATCTCTAGTCCATTGACAGGGAAGATAAAAGCTAGTGCTCGCCTGTTACAGTCACACCTGAATTTGGCTGGGAAGACGGTCTCTGACTATCACAATTTTATCTGCAGGTGACATTTTCCTGCAAGAGCTGGTGTGCCAGTGCCGCAGCTGGGCGCAGCTTGAGCCCAGGAGCGGTCACGGCCTGCCCTCACGGACAGATGAGGGCTCAAGGGACCCTCCTGACTCTGCTACCGGGCCCCCCAAGCCTGGGGCATGGCAAACCCTGAGGAAGGAACAGCAGCCTACACCCTCCCCGAGGA